TCTGAGGCTGGTCGACCCTTCCCAAGATCTGCACGTGGTCAGTGATCATCATAACATAGTCCGGGCCTTCTTTTCAGGCAAGGCCCACTCTTCTAAGCTGGCTAATTATGACTTGTGGTGGGAGTTCTGGGAGCTGCTCGACTCTCGTACCGCCTCCTTCCGCCTCTCTCATGTTCCGTCACACTTCCTTGAAGACCCCGTGAAGTTTGCGCGCTTCTGTGATTCAGCTAATCGGGACCATGTCGTCTTGAATGCCCTCGCAGATTCGTTGGCTGACGCACGAGCGGAAGAGTGCCAGGTTCCAGCGGATGTTGTCCGCGATCACAACGATTTAGTTCAGCAGGCTTGTGCAATTCTTAAGCGAAATGCGTGTATCATCCTTGAGTGTGCCGCTCTTAAGGTGGAGAAAGACCGGCGTTTGAACAAGCAGCCCATTGACTTGGTGCTAAGGCGCCGCAGGTGGATCGAGTCAGATGTTCGGTCCAGCTCTCACCATTGGTCGCTCTCTGAAGGTGTGTGGTCTTGTTCACTTTGCCAGGGCCAGGTCAAGGACACCGCCCCTTCTCTGCGCGCTCGCCTTGCTTCCACATGCCTCGCCACCTTGGAGGGAGGAGGGGGGCTGTGTGTGCGTGAGCGTGTGTGTGAGGGCGGGGACGGGGGAACATTTTCGAAGAAATGGGCCCGTCCAGGCAGGCAGCTTCTGCCTCGAGACGAGTCCCTGTGGCGGTCCCTTCAATTGGACCCCATGCCAATTCGAGTTTCTCCTTGGATTTCCGGCAAGCCTGTGCACCCCACGCACGTGCTGTGGCGTAAGGCCTCCTTTTACTTTTGTGGCGAGTGCGGGTCTTGGGCCAACAGATCTCCCAGTGCTTTCTTGAGGGGTCCGTGCCCTGCCGTCACGCTCGGACCGCATGCTGTAACCAAGGCGCAGTTGGAAGTCTTGCAGAGGATTTGTAAAGGCCTTCCTCCAGCCAAGACCGTCGCATCTTGGGCTGATGCTTAAATTTTCTTCCCTAGCGGCCAGTCCCTGGCAGGTTCTCTGCCCTTGGAGCCTGGGTGTTAGCGGTGCACTGTAAAAAAATCCTCCACCTCCTCCAGTGTGTCTTGGTCTTTCTGGACGCCCGACATGGGTACGAGCAGGCAGGTCCCGAGCAGGAGGCGACCAGGAGGCGGCAGGGCGGTGAAACCGTCGTGCGGCAGGAGGCGACCAGGAGGCGGGGAAACAGGGGCCAGGTCGACGGCGGGCTGGGCGGCGGGGCGGAGGAGGTGTCGAGTGGGGGGTCGCAAGACAGAGACAACCGGGGGGTGGGGATGCCGGGGCCAGGGGGTCGACGGCGGAGGGGGCTCTGGACGCCCGAAACGGGTACGGAAAGAATGGGTACAATGCCCAACAGCAACTCCTGTTCAGTTTGGACGGGACTCGCTGTCCGCGCCGCCGCGGCCTGTGTCCATTCGAGACAGAAGGCCGCCTGCCCAACAGCGGCCGCTGTTGGTTTGGGACAACATTTGTTGGGAATTGTGTCCATTTTTTCCGTACCCATTCCGGGCGTCCAAAGTCTTATTTCATCCCTCAGGGGAACGAACAATGATCTAAGCAGAAAAGCTCGGAGGTCCGCGCGGATTTCTCGGATCGGGAGTTTTTGTGTTTATGGCATTGTTCGTTCCTCTATCTCTGTTCCCCATGGAGGGCTATCACAGGTTTTTGAATTTGCTTTGAAACAGCTGGTGGGATTGAGGCCTGCGCGGCCGGCGTTCGTCTGATTCCATGGCTTCCTCTTGCCTTGTTTCCTTATACTGTTTTTGAAAGGCCAGCCTTCCTCGGGTTTCCCAGGTCTTTCCCTGGGTTTCCCCCATTCCTGGGTCTTGTTCCCATTCTGTTTTTTGAGGAGGCGTTTCCCAGGTTGCCCAGCAATGCCAAGCGATTACAAGCAATGCCAAGCAAAGCACAGAAATGCCAAGCAACCCTAGGCAATGCCTACCATCTCCAAGCAGTGCCAAGCAATGCCAAACAACGCTAAGCAATGTCGCTTCGTAAGCGTTCCCCCCATTCTGGGTCGCGCCAGGTTCATGTTTTTGATGCTGTGCTTGAGGATGGCGATCATGATGAGGAGGATGTTGTTGATGGTCATGGTGATGGTCATGGTGATTGATGGTGGTGAGGATAAACGATGAGGGTGAGGATGACGATGTGGATGAGTATGGTGATGATGTATATTATGGTGATGTGGGAATTGAGTGGAACACTAAGATCAGCATGCAGGAATCATGGAGGAAGGGAGGAAGGCCCTGAGAGGGTAAGACATGAGATGGGTGACGATTTTCATGATGATGGTGATGATGATGCTGATGATGATGATGGTGGTAATTAGTGCTGATGGTTGTGAGGGTTGACGATTGTTCTGAAGCTGGTAAAGACGATGACGATCACGATGGCGATGACATGGTGGTGATGATTTCAACGATAACGATGACGGTGATGACGATGACGATGACGACGTAG